CCTTCCCCTTCCCGTTCCTTTTTTAAGGTCTTTGCCAGAGGAATCATGCACTTGCCATAGACAGAGAGAGACAGAGAGAGGGAAAGTGAGGAATCACCCCCCAAGGAGGATGACCACACTGCAATCTCTTCACCATTCTCTACCTGGGATCTTGGGCATGCACCCACACACACCAGTGTGATTTTCAAGCCACCACGTCTAGGACTTGAACCAGCCAGCCATGTGGGAGTCTGGTGCCTTAACTTCCATACCATCTGCTGGCCCCCTCTAGGCACAAATTTTAAGAGGATAAATTCTGTACGAAAAGTCATGGGAAAAAAAGGGGAAGGGGAATGAGTGACAAACATAGAACCCCAACTATTACATCATGAAGTTAAATGAAGCTTACAATGAACTGAACATGCAAATATTCAACACAACACAAAGGGCCTTTAAAGTATTGTTTACAGCAGGAGGTTTTAGGTTCACTCCATGGCTGGTGATACAATTTTAACAGGTGTAGAATAAGGAGAGGGAAAACTATTTTTTGGTGGATTTCTTTAGCAGCTAAACTAGGCTTTAAGTTGGCAAGAGCAGAAGAAAGGGGTTAAAAAAAAATGCAATGGCTACTCGAGATAGATGAGGAAGGAAGTGGAAAGTGAGTTCTTATCAACTGAAAGAAGTTCAATCCTCAGCCCAGTTGAATTCTAGCCCACAGTAGGAAAGGAACTGGAAAATGCAATCTCAGAATCACTCATCACAATCTTTGAGGAGTCTTGGTAATTAGAAGATGAAAGATAGGCCAAAGTGAAATCTTGAGTTTTCAAGTCAGATAGGAAACTTAAATCGTAGGCACACATATTGACACAAGGACATTTTTGCCGAATACAAATGGATGGCATTGGGGTACCCGATCAGCAGTTCTCTTTCTCCAAAGCAATACGGATCCTAAGACCACAGAATCAGTGTGAAACCAAGCTCTGCTTGTTTGCTTTTTTTAAAAGATTTTTTGCTTTAGGGCATGGACATTGCAGGAGACAGAGAGAGACTGAGACAGTGTGAGGGAAAGTGAGAAATCACCCCTCAGGAGGGATGGCCATGTTGTAATCCCTTCTCCTCCATTCTCTTCGGATCTTGGGCATGCACGCACATGTGCCTGATGTGAGTTTAAAGATGCCAGGTCCTGGACTCAAACCATGTATGGCCATGTGCTTTCTAATGTTGAGACAACATGGGAAGGTCCTGGTTCACATCCCAAAGTGTTCATATATACTCTAGGTGTGCACGCTGGCTGGCTGAGGCTGGGGATGGATTGTGGCTTGAGAACCCTGTTGGGGGTGTCTGTCTCTTGCTCAGGAATGAATGAATGAATGAATAATAAATAAATCTTTTGAAAAATGACTTTATCACTGCCTATCCTGCCTGGCCTGACCTACTGAAGGGGGGAAGCAAAAAGGGGGATCTATCAGCCTACTCTGCATAAACCTCCTATCTACCCGATTGAAAGGAAGAAAGAGGGAGCCATTGGCCCACCCACATGCCATATACCACCTGTTACTACCTTGTGCTCTTCCTCTTCAGCTGTCCTTGGCCTCACTGGGATCAGAGAGGTTGGGTCAATCAAGCGGACATGACCACTGATTGAGAGAAGGCCAAGCATGTGAAGGGCCAACCACCACATCTACAACCCACAGATTGTGGCCACTGCCTGTGAGCAATCCCCACAAAGAGTGGAGACAGGCAGGACTGTTGGGTGGCAGAAGAGAATGGGCAGGAACCTCTGGTTTGGATGCTTTGTCATTGTAGAGTTAAAGAGCAGCCAACCACCTGAAGCCAGTGAGGTTCCAGAGAAAAACAATCTCCCTCCACCTATCTCCCTGGAGAAGAAAAAAAGATCTTTCTTTCTCAAAATCCAAACTCAAAAATACCCACTGTGTATTCTAACACTTCCACCCACCAAAGAGTAGGAAAACTGGTATGGAGCTAACATACACCTATGTAGGGAAGTGCCTATGAAACAGCTCTAGAAACCTACTCCAGAAAACTTAACAAGTGAAAACTTCACCAGATGTCTAAGAGAAAACTAGGAAAAATCTCTCCTCCAAAGGAACACAGTAACTCCTTACTAATGAGCATAAAACATAAGAAGTCACAGAAATGTCAAGGCTGGCAGGTGGTGTGGTGGTTAAGGATGCTGGACTCCCAGATGACTGACCGTGGTTTGGGCCCCAGACCTGGCAGCTTACTTTTTCCCTCCCTCTTTTTACTTTCTCACTCTCTCTTTCTCACTCTCACTCTCCCTCTCTCCTTCTCCAGTCAAATTAAAGTGAATAAGCAAGTAAATAAAGTTAAATAAAAAATAATGCTTTAAGAAAAAAGAAGTCACAGAACTGTCACAAAAATAATTCAAAATATTCATTGTAACCAAACTGAATGAGATGCATGAGAAAATGGAAAACCAACTTGAGAACATGAGAAAATCATTGTACGGATTAAAAGAATAGTTCCATAAAGAGATGAAAACCATAAAAAAGAATCAAACGGAATGTCTAGAGATGAATAATACAGTACAATCAAAATATCCCTGGAAAGTATTAACAGATTGGACTATTCATAAAAATCTCAGACCCTGAAGATACAACTTCTGAGTTAGTCTAAACCACCAAAAGGAATGGAAAAATGCCCATTAAAAATGAAGACAAGGGGCCAGCAGGTGGTGTAGCGGTTAAGGCTCTGACTCTCACATAATCAACTGTGGTTCGAGTACCACATCCGCTGACTTGAAAATGATGTAAAGTGAATGTGCGTGCATGCCCAAAGTCCTTAGAAGAGAAAGGAGGAGAAGGAATTGTGGCGTGGCCATTCCCCCTGGGGAGTGATTTCTCACTTTCTCTCATTCTTTCTCTCTCTGGTGAATGTACATACCCCATTGCAGAAAACTTTCAAGATAAAATAAAGTAAAAAGACAAGATACAGGAAATCATAGACCACATCAAGCAGCTGAATAGTCACATAACGGGTATGCCAGAAGGCAAAGAGATAAGACATTAAAAAAAAAAACAAAACACCTCTTTCTTACAACATTATCTGACAACTTCCCAAATACAGAGAGACATATATACATACCCATAGTCAGGAAATAAAAAGAATACCAAAAATATTCAACATAAGATGAGTATCTCTAAGGCACAACATAGCCCTATTATTAAAAGTCAAAGACAAAAATATCTGGGGGTTGTTTCTTGCTTTCTGTCTGTCTGTCTCTGTCTCTCTCTCTCTTTCTCTCTCTTTCCTGGGAACACACATGTCCTATGACAAAAAGTTCTCTCTCTCTCTCTCAAAAA